GTTCTACAGTAAAGTGCAGGTCGTCGGGCCACCGAAGCGGGGGTGCTATCCCTTCTGCAGAGGATCAAAATTGTGATGGCATGTCTTCGGATCATCCTCAGGAGTGCTTCCCAGACCGTCGCCAATAGCCCATCGTGCAGCTCCAGTGCGACGTAACTAAAAATATAATTTGACTCCAAAAATATTATTTCATAATATGTTTCTTATTTTCAGATATTTTTGACAATTTCCAGATTATTACTTGTAAAATTTCCAAGTATATTGACAAGCACACTATATACTCAACTCAAGGTGGTTTTCTTGCGAATGTAAACAATCCTTTCGGCGAGATCGAAAATATTATTTGAAGTAAATAAAAAGATTTTCCTTGTGACAAATACTAATCATAACTAACTATGAATATTCGCTGTGCTACTCCAGATGATTTGATGAATATGCAACACTGTAATTTGTTGTGTCTGCCTGAGAATTACCAAATGAAGTACTATTTTTACCACGGTCTATCATGGCCTCAATTATCATATGTAGCCGAAGATGAGAAAGGAAAAATTGTTGGATATGTACTTGCTAAAATGGAAGAAGATTCAGATGACGATCCTCATGGGCACATTACTTCCCTTGCTGTTAAGAGATCTCATCGAAGGTTGGGACTTGCTCAAAAGTTAATGGATCAATCCTCAAGAGCTATGGTGGAATGTTTCAATGCAAAATACGTTTCCTTGCACGTAAGAAAGAGTAACAGAGCTGCACTACACCTTTACACAAATACTCTGAAATTTCAGATAAGTGAAATTGAGCCTAAATATTACGCTGATGGTGAGGATGCTTACGCTATGAAACGTGATCTTGCAAGTTTTGTGTCACAGTCAAAAACATCATCAGAAAAAGATGTAAAATAATTACATTTTTGATTTAGATATAATTTTGTGCCCAATATGAACGAATTGTGCGTTATTTCTCTATTCTGTTATTGTTTTGTTTGCCTTTTAGAACCTCAAATAATTTTAAGTAACTTCGGATACTTACAAATACATCTTACAAAAAATAAATAAAAGATCTAATTAATTGATGATGAGTCATTCTTTTAGATGTATAAAACTATTTTTATGTATATTTACGGAGTGGATGATTTAATGCACATAAAGATGATTAAACCCTTCTGCTGACAGCCATAAAAAGGCATTAAAAACATACCATATCAGGGGTCTGTTTAGAAGAAATTTGGGTCCGTTAACGGACCCTTCACAAAATATCTTTTCATAAAAACGGACCCTTCANTTTTTTTTTTTTACTTTACAAAAAGTAGCAAAGCAATTGTATTAATTACTAATTTTTATTAATAAATTAACATATCTATCAAATTAATTAGCTAAGTACAAGTAATTTATTTAAAATGCGTGCATATATTGATAAAATAATAAATGTATGTTTTTAGGTGTCTGTAGTTATGATTTAATGATTAATAATAATTATGATTTAATGATAATGGAAGTAACTGCAAACTTTCAAAGAAAAGTGCAACAAGGGGGTTTCATGGCTATCTTTCCTTTCCCTTATAAATCTATGTATTGACAGCCATGACAAACTAAATAAAAAAGAGTTAAAAATAACAAAAGTTTAAGAAATCCACTGTAGAGTTAGGGGAAAAAAATAAAGAATGGTTGAGGAAAGAAAGGGTATGGAGTCTATTACATCAGGGCACTAATTTACTTCAGGGGCAACAGGGTGGATTATTTTGATTAAAAGGGCAACAGGGTGCTGCGCCCTGTTTACCCTGCCTAGAATGAGCTCTGATAAAAAGGCATTAAAAGCATACCATATAAATCGATATAGTTGTTGGGAGATTTCCTTATTAGTGCCATAAAAATTTTTTCAGGATTTTGTAACAATAGGGATTTTTTTTTTTTTTAAAAGAAAATTTTAAACTAATGTGCATCACTGAATGGGCCAAAGTAAATCTCAATACAGACTTCAATCAAGCTGTTTTATATGTTTCTTAAATACAGTATACTCTCGATAATCTCAAAGTTAAGCGACACTAAAAGATTTTCAAGATAATAAGTTCAGAACGAAATATGTTCTAAAGAGTAGAAAAATATATTCTAAAATATTACCCTAAAAAGTGAAGTAATGAAACATAAGAATAATTACTAATAAATATATATAAAATGATAGTTGATAATAAGTTTCAATATAACAATGGTAATTTATTTTTAAAAGGTAAAACAATAAATAATTGTGCATCAAATAGAAAATAATTTGTTCACAATCAAGGGCGGCGCCAGTAGGGGAGCAATTGCACCCCTGTCGGGCATGGCCAGCCCCCACCCCAAACGGGAAAATTTTAAAGTCTCGTCCGGAAA